ATTTTTATTTAATACATTTATTTTATTTACAATTTTGAAAAACACTATAATTGTAGTATTTAAAAAAAATCATTGTATCATCTGTTTAATTATCATACATTGCCTCATGCACAATGTCATTTCTTGTTTTTTATCTCATGATTTTTTAAATCTATTTTTTCATCTAGCCATGATTTTGTGAGAATTATTAATGTTTTTTTGTTTTTTTTAAATTGTGGACAATTCAACAAAAATCTCAAGAAACACTGGAGCAATCAAAAACACATCAGAAAATCCAACCAACCCAGGTTGAAATGGCCACAGATGTCCAGATTAGTGATGTTTCCTAATTTGTACAGTTCTCATCGTTTCTGTCCATCTTCACAGATGGACGTATATAGAGTTTTACAGCCGTTACAGTATATTGATGAGCCAGTCGGAGCTGAAGCTGGGAGAGAAGAAGCAGACGTGCAAGACGGTTCTGCAGAGACTCATTCCTGTAAGAGAAACGTGCTGTGCTATATCTGAGAGCTCGTGTTCTTCAGCCATGCTCTGAAAAAAAGTCCTCTCTGGTCCATTACAGGATTCCAACCAGTACAAGTTCGGTCGGAGTAAGATCTTCTTCCGGGCGGGACAGGTGGCGTACCTGGAGAAGCTGCGTTTGGATCATCTTCGTGCGGCTTGCGTGAGCATCCAGAAGCACGTGAGGGGCTGGAGGCAGAGGCGCAGGTTCCTGCACATGAGACAAGCTGCCATCACTATCCAACAGTACGTGCGTGGAAAGAAACAGATCAGGTGAGTGTTTCCAGAGCACTAGCAATCCAAAACTCAATCCAAAAAAAAAAACAATCCAAACTTTCTTGATCAAAAATACAGTAATATTGTTAAACATATTACAATTAAAAATTGCCGTTTTCAATTGTAATATGTTGTAAAATGTCATTTATTCCTTTGATGTAAAGCTGAATTTTCAGCATAATTACTCCAGTCTTCAGTGTCGCATGATCCTTCAGAAATCATTCTGATATGCTGATTTAAGAAACATTTCTGATTATTATTAATGTTGAAAACAGCTGTGCTGCTTCATATTTTTGTGGAAACCATGATACATTTTTTAGGATTCTTTGAAAAATAGAAAGTTCAAAAGAACAGCATTTATTTAAATAGAAATGTTTAGTAGCATTATAAATTTCTTTATTGTCACTTTTTGATCATTTTAATGCATCCTTGCAGAATGAAAGTAAAAAAAAAAAAGAAAAGAAATACTGTCCCCAAACCTTTTGAGCGATCGTGTACACAGAAAAAAAATTGTAGAAATTAGCATTAGCACAACAGAATAAAGCAGAATACAGCGATCTTGAGCATTTAAAAAAGGTAAAACCCCTATGTTCCTGTCCTCCCTCAAATACAAAACATGTTAAGCAACCCAAACACCAAAAATGACAAACGAGCACCATAAAAGTAGTCCATAAAATTGATATTGAACTTTAAACTGTCATTCACTCATTCCAGTGTTATTTTAGTATCATTGAGATGCTTTTTAGTTTTTATTAATATTTTGAATTCGTTTTCATTTTTATATTTTCCATTTTCATTTTAGTTTTAGTAATTTTGTTTTGTGTTTTTGCCATTTTTATTATTTTTAATTAGTTTTTTTTATTAATTTTTATTTAAGTTTTAGCTATTTTAGTACATCAGGTTTAACTAAACGTTACCTTGGCAACTAAATAAAAAATAAGTATGTTTTTTTTAAAGTCTGTTTCAGTTCAAGTTTATTTGAATTCATGTTACAAAAAATTTAATGGTTTTAGTTTTCGTTAACAACAATAACCCTGACAGTTAGGGATGCGTCAAGTCAAGTTTGTCATTTTTGTCATTAAATTGTAATGTAGACACATGCATTTTCTGTAAAGCTGCTTTGAAACGATGTGTAATGTGAAAAGCGCTATACAAATACATTTGAATTTGCAAGACACAAAATTTGGCTGATGTGATGCAACCAAAGATTTCAATCTGTTGAATGTTTACATAGACAAACAATTGAAGAATAGCACATATGAAATGCATAAACTCGTCATGTGTTTTCATTTAATGCTGCTTTTGGAGAACATTAAAAACCGTCCTGTTGCAGACGCAGCATAACAGCTCTGGCACTGAAGCAGGCCTGGGCCGCTGTGGTGATCCAGAGACACTGTCGTGGGTATCTGGTCCGGAGGATTTACCAGCTCGTCCTGAGGGCTGCAGTCATCATACAGGCCTACACCAGAGGATGGATGGCCCGCAAGCGCTACAGAAAGGCAGAGTCTCATCGTTTGTCATTTTGTTTGAAGTGTTTCATGATTTGTGATAAAGTGTCTTTTGACCTTTATCACATAATCACACGTTTTGATTGTGATTCTTTGTATTATTGTAGATGGTGGCAGAACACAAGGCTCTGGTTCTGCAGAAATACGCTCGAGCTTGGCTGGTGCGCCGGCGCTTTCAAACCATGCGACGGCTGGTCATCAACGTGCAGCTCTCGTACCGAGTCCAGCAGCTGCGCAAGAAAATAGAAGAGCAGGTACAATCCGACAACATAGAGGAAAATGTTACTGAATGTTAAGTCTCAAGAGAAGACTTTGTCTTGAACGCTGTCTCAGATGTTTCTCCTAAATCTCCTTGAAAAACTCCTGAAAATTAGTGCTGTCAATCGATAAACATTTTTTTTTCACTAATTAATCGTACATTTGTTTCTGAAATTAATCACGATTAATCCCACCTAACATTAAAGTTTTTAAATATACTTTTATATTGCAATAATTTCACATGCAATCTTCAAATTAATGTGGAAACAACATAAAGAGAGTATATTTTTTTATATTTGTTTAGTGGTATCTAGTATCACTAGAGTATCCCTCCTACCAATGCTACTGATGTCTCTATGAAATAGTTTTTTTTCCTAATATTTAACCATTGACTACGGCCATTCAACATTACAGTATAACTGAGAGCTATCATTTTTAACATTTATTAGACTTTAAAAAATAACAACTTTAATTTATGTGACCTTATGTGGAGAGATGCACTTTTGTTTGTCTTTTGTTTATTATTATTTTGTGCTGTATTGTTGGTTACTGTGTTATTTCGGTTTCAAAAGCCAGCAATAAAAAACACTTTAATATCTAAAGAGTGTTCATGTGATTTTATACATTAGTAATGTTGGGAAATGAATAAATGCATAATAATCGTCATAATCGTAAAACCGTGATTATTCCTCAGACAATAATTGTACCAACACAATCTATAATCTTTGCATCCCTAGTTGTGAGTGGGGTGGCCAACCCTAGGTCCCCCCCTGCGTTAATTGTGGTAAATATTTTTAATGCCATTAAACTGGAAAAATTAATTGCAGGCGTTAACACGCTAGTTTTGTACAACTCACATGTGAAACATATGTAAACCACAGAGATACTTCTATTAACTCTTTCTATTAATACTTCTATAAACACAGAATTTTCTGGGTTTCTGTGTTTTCCCTGTTATACACTAGGGGGGCACTATTACGCATCTCTTGAGTCTAGAAAGTGGCGATCAAAAACACAGACCAGGAAGACCCAGAAACGAGCAATCTCATATGGAAGCATATGCATATGAAAAATAATGCGATCATCAACACTAACCACATATAAATAAAAACTGCCTAATGTTACAGAGTGAAATGTCAATCCAGAAAGTGGTAAAGGCCTGTGCAAGCTTTGAGAGTACTGATGGAAGCCATCTACTGCATCTTTGCTTTGATAATATTACTGAATATGATCCAGATGTAGTATTTGATAAAAATGCGATTTTCTCAGCATTTTCCTTAAAATGTTTTTTTTTTTGTTTGTTTTTTTAAACCTACCCACATTCAAGTGTTGATAAAAAAAAAAACAATACTTGACGCTAGAATAAAACAGATTTTTTTTGTTTGAAAGTAAAGGGTATAATCTTTATTTTAATGTATTGCATGTTCAGATATTCATACAATAAAATATTTTGGAGGCCATGAAATTTTAGTGAAAATCAGCAAAAACGCTGGCGGTGGCTGGCAACTTTTTTCAAAAACGCTGGCGGTGGCTGGCAACTTTTTTCAAAAACGCTGGCGGGGAAAGAGTTAACTGGTCCAAAACTCTCTCACACTGGCACAGTCAAAAATTTATATTTAATAAATACATGAATGTTAAAAAGCTTGTAGACTCCCTTGATAACACTGTGAACCAGATTAGATTCTGTGCTTTTAGAACTCATGAAGTGCTGGATACAGCACAGGTGTGGGCCGTATTTTGCTGAGCGAGATGATAAAATGCTCATATTGTTAATTACGTTAACGAATGGTGATGAGCTAATTTAATTCGCCCACAGACAGCAGTCCACCTGGCAGGGCAGGTCTCTTCAGGCAGCTGTGCAGGGACGCTGAACCAGGTGTGATGAAGATACAAAGAGGAAGAGCATACCTGCAGCATGAGAGCGTGTGGTGAGTGCACAAAGATAGAGGCGTTGTCCTTGGGGGAGGACTCCAGACACAGCTGAGCATCAGTGGCTCGAGGATTATAGGTGAAGGCGATACTGGCAGACAGCTTTCCATCATACAGCAGCATCTTATGATGTTCTGCAAACATCAGGTCACTCTCTGCCTTGTGCTTAAAAGTGCCCTGGATCAATCAGAGGGAGAGAGATGCTAAGTACAGCTACGCTGAACATTTTCAAGTGTGTGTGTGTGAAAAGCATGAAATTAAACCTGATTCATCAGAACACTTAATAAAAGCATAAGTGTTTAAGTGCAATAAACAGACTGATGATGTGAATGATAAAAATGCCTGATGATCATTTTAGTGTTTCAAAATCATTCTAGTAAATTCAATAATAAAACAAAGAAAAAATTAAAAGTAAAAGGAGTAACACAGCAGTATGTGGTTGCATTTACCCTTTATAATCTAATGAACAGATATATCTGAACATGTAAGTGATTTGACAGCAATATCTCATCAGGTCAGAATTTTGAACAAGAACTTTTTTAACATCTGTAATAGACAGCATTTGGGCAGAGAAATGGATCCCACCTTGTATCCAGGCCCCAGCTGATAGATGGCTAATATCTGAGCAGCACTGAGAGCCTCACTGAACAGATACACTGCCCCCATCTGACCACAGAACACACGGTCAGCGTCTGCTGTCTCTGATGAGCCCAGAAAACACTTGTCGAATGTCTGTGAAGAACAGGAGGGGAAAAAGTGTATTTAGTTAAATTTTTTAAATTTAGAACGATGTTTGTAATTGTAGTGCTGGTACACTACTGAAATGTTTTAAGGTTTTTTCAAATAAGTCTTATGCTCACTAAGGCTGCATTTGTTTGACAATAAAAATACAGTAAAAACAGTAACAATGTGATAGAAAAATAACAGTTTTCTTTTAAAATTTCATTTATGATGGCTTCAGCCATTACCCCAGTCTTCAGTGTCACATGATCCTTCAAAAATTCTTCTAATATGCTGATTTGGTGCTCAAGAAACATTTCTATTATCAATGTTGCTTAAAAATAAATGTCAGGATTCTTCAATGAATGGAAGGTTCAAAAGAACAGCATTTATTTGAAATATAAATTTTTGTAACATTATAAATGGCTGTTCATTGTAATCATTTTAATGCATAATTGCTGAATTAAAGTATTAATAAAAGTATAATTTTCTTAAAAAATAGGCTATATCGTACTCACCCTAAATTTTAGACCATTATAACATTTATATAGTACTTGATACTTACCCACATCACACTTGAGGTGCAGAGGTCTTCAAACAGCTAATGTGTATATTGCTCTACATTGATTTTTTATTTTAATTTTTTTATGTTTAAAAAAGACACTTTTTAATGGGACTCATTTGACACAAATGATAATCTGTCCATATGTATGTCTCCCCATGCATAAAATAAAAACAATAAACCATATTAGCATCACTTTGTTAGTTCATGTGAATCAACTTAAATAACCAACAATTTGCTGTTACAAAATGCTGCTCTTTAAACGCTGTAAACAGACACTGACTACATCATTCTGACACCACCTTGAGCAATGCTGTTTCAGTGTAATAATGTCCAACTTTGATTTACAATTTCAAAAGAAAAGTCTACATGTCCAGCAGTTTTGTTTCATCCTTTAAAGTTTGTGGGTATTTTGGGGTTTGGAGCTGCTAAAATATTGACAAGCTTTGAACAGAAACACTTCTGGAGAATAAAAGAAGGGCCTCAAGCTTAACTGCTGGTTAAAACTAGAACAATAACAGATAACAGAGCCTTTTGAAAGTACTTACATCGCTTGTGTTGACAAACCAGGTGATCTCACCATATGACGCCAACTCTCCATTAACATAGCAGCTGATTTCGCTGTTCTTCCAGCGATTATAGATGTGCACTATGGTCACCATATACCACTGTTAAATAAAAATAATATTAGCAAATATAAAAAGGACAGCATGCCATTATTTATTTAATATCAATATCACAAAGCATGAGAGCATTATAGCAGGGGTTTTTTAACTTTTGGACTCCAAAATATGATTATCCCCTTCTAGGAATTCACTTTCTATTTCCGTGCCTAAACAATCATTCATACTGAGTAAGAAAAATATTAAATGTGAAATTATAAATCAGTTTCAAAAATTATATAATTGGTTTTTGCAATATATATATATATATACATATACTGCATGTCTTGTTGGATCATCCTTCGCGGTGGTTGTCCATCTCTAGTCTAAAAGTGTTATCTGAGGATGCCTCCCCATTCCAGGGGGCATATGGGTTCTAAGCAGGGCAGGGATTTGGTTTCTTCTTGCAAATCCTCAGACATGACTTGGCCTCAGCAAAAACCCTCATTCTTATATGTCAAATTTGCTCTCCTTGTACATTGTAGAGGTAAAGATGAAGACTTTGAAAAGTGTACAGTTTGTAAGAGTACAAACTGGTAAGGTGATTCATACCTTCTGGGGTTTAAAGTCATACTTCACACAGTGCTGGAAGCCTTTGGCTTTGGACTTTAGAGAGGTCACAATCAGACATCCACCCACAAAGTGTGCAGAATAGCCCAAACCTTTGCTGGTGCGGAAGCTAGGGATGAGGGGGGGAAAAATACAGAGCACAATTAATAAAAGTTACATTTCAGGTGAGGGGTTCTCAAGTTTCAGCTCTATTCTTGAAAGAGTAGCTACAGTTTGAACCCTTTGATGTATAAATTATTTAAAAAACAAAGAAGATTATCTGTTTTTTTAATAAAAGCATTAATAATTTAATATTTCACAATTTTTATATTTATATGTTTGTGTATTTTGAAAGACATATCTGTCCATTTTGCATCAAGGTTTGTAATTCAATACAATGTAAGCCTATGGCAGTTTGTTGGTAATCAATTAATATTTTTTTTATATTCACCCTGAGTAGAAAATATTTGATATTACATCAGTATCTGAGGTGTATTAGGAACCAAAAACAGGCTGAAAGTGCATAACCAACCTACCCTTTACTACATATTGGGTGCTTATACTGTATAACCATAGTGTTATGTAAGTGTTAATTCACACAAAAATAACAATTCTATCATCATCTACTCACCCGTATGTTGCTCAAAACCCATTTGACTTTTGCTCATATTTGGGACAAAAATAAAGATAATGTAATATTTTGTACATCTGTCTTATGGGTTCAGAATAACAAATGGCATGTAATGTTAGTAAATGGCATGGTAAGTACATGATGACAATTTTAATTTTTGGGTGAACTAAAAATTTAACTAAAATATTATTTTGAATGTTCTGTGAAAACAATTATCTAAAATAGTTTTGTAAAAAGTCACAATAGTTAAATATTAAGATGGATGGATGGATGGATGGATGGATGGATGGATGGATGGATGGATGGATGGATGGATGGATGGATGGATGGATGTAATTTTGAAAGAAGGCCTGTAATGTAGGGAGTTAATCTCAGCCCAGTGAAAAGTGTAAATCCTACAATTCTTTCTACAGGGTCAATTATCGTTTGGTGAGTCAAAATAGCTCCATTTGCATAAATTACATTTTGACATGGATGGATGGATGGATGGATGGATGGATGGATGGATGGATGGATGGATGGATGGATGGATGGATGGATGGATGGATGGATGGATGGATGGATGGATGGATGGATGGATGGATGGATGGATGGATGGTAGGAAGGATGGATGGATGGATGGATGGATGGATGGATGGATGGAATTTTGAAAGAAGGCCTGTAATGTAGGGAGTTAATCTCAGCCCAGTGAAAAGTGTAAATCCTACAGTTCTTTCTACAGGGTCAATTATCGTTTGGTGAGTCAAAATAGCTCCATTTGCATAAATTACATTTTGACAGAAATTAATTAGAAGCTGAAAATAGGACAAGAAGTCTGTGAAATGCTGCCCTTGAGAAGTGTAAATGCCAGACAGGGAGAAAAAGGAAAATATACAGAATTTTCTTATTGTTCATCTAACACCTACAAATATTTTAACTTTTATGGCACCTTTCAGACAAAAAGTCGTCAGCTAATCTTTCACTATACACTGCAGGTGTCTGGTTCTTTAGAAAGCAGCTTGAATAAAAGTGTTGTATTTTACATTACAGGTTTGTGTGTGACCCACCAGTAGAGATAAGGCTTGTCCTTGTCAACGTTTATGTTATTGATGGGGTCCAGGCGCAGCCAGGTGTGGAAGGTAAAGCCGTTCTGGTATGGCCATTTTGCAATAGGTGGAAGTGCAATAGCCTGATGATACAAAAAACAAAAACACATTTTTTTCCAGTTAGGTTTCTGTATTTTGTTGTCTTGTTTTAAATAACCAGAGTATCATGCAGAGTAGCATATGAGAAGAAAAAAAAAAAACTAAAATGAACATCCTTGGAGGGATGCACTGAAAACGGTTGTGTATGTTTGTACACAGAAGACTTCCTCTCATATTTGTGGGTTACGGATGAAAAGTGAAGGCAAGCGCAATGTAATTTTTTTCGTGAAGCCAGCATCCTATCTGTGCTGGAATAACATCTAATCAAAGTATTTCCTAAAAGGATGGCATCCATTTGGCGCTGTTTCAAGTGGACACTGACAACACAGGAAGGGTTCCATACACATGCCATCTAAAACATCAAGATCCCCATACTGTCGGGATGATGGTTTGATTTTTAATAAAAATATGGAAACACACACACACAGGTAGTTGGAACATTTCAAAGTCATCTGCATCACATCAGATATATCTGACTGCTGTCCTCTCTTGATGCACAGAAAAAAATTATGAGTCAATCCTGAAATAATTTCTTTCCTCAAATTTCTTTCAAAACTAGAAACTTGCTTGTCTTTTAATCTAAAAAAAGATTAGTTTAAATCAATATACATGTTTCTCATCAAAATAATTGATTGCTTATAGTGACAAAACTCTTCTAAAGAGTAACTTTTTCTAAAGGAGTAAAACTAGTTCATGGGACATGGTTCTTGTTTCATGACCCATGTCACATCTTTTCTTACTCCAGAAAGCAGATACAATTACCTGTGGGTGTTAGACATTTCTGTAAACTTTCATCTGTCACATGACTGAAGGAATACCTTGATAACTAAGTGAAAGAATGGTTATGTAAAGCCTTTTGGAGACAGACAGAAATTAAAGTCCTAAAGTCTCCTAATCCTGAAAGCAACAGTGTGTGTGTGTGTGTGTGTGTGTGTGTGTGTGTGTGTGTGTGTGTTTGTCTGCGTCTTTGATGTGTTACACTTCATTTGAGCCGCACGTTTTCTGCAGCGTCTCGCCCTCATGTGATCACACGACCACGGGGCCGTTTACACGCTGTTATCAGAACTAAGACCAAAAGTATTGACTATAAGCTCAAATCAACTTGTATTTCATGTACATTCAACATTATTTTCCAGAATACAGATTCCAATTTCAGGTGTGCATTTTTGCTATTTATAAGCTTTATACTTAAAACTGTACGATTAAAAAATGAATTGATGTAAATTAAGAATATTCCATATTCAAAGTTGAGATGACATCATTATATTATTTGCATGATGCATTCTGATTGGTTCTGATTCTGACTGGTCTTTGTTATACCGCAAAGATGGCAATACTTTAGACTGCTATTCAAAAGTTTGAGGTTAGATTTTTTTTTTATGATAATATTTTTGAAAGAAAAGAAAACTTTTATTAATCAATGGTGATTAAATTGATCAAAAGTGACAGCAAATACATTTATAATGTTGCGAAAGTTTTATATTTTAAGTAAATGCTGTTTTACTTTCTATTCATCAAAGAACCCTGAATAAATCCTGGTTTTCATAAAAATACATTTTTAACACTGATGAAATAAGATTTTTTTCTTGAGCGGCAAATCAGCATATTAGAATAATAAAAAAGCGGCTGAAACTAAACTAAAATTATAAAAGTTTTTGCATGTTTTTTTTTTTTTTTTACTTTTTTTGAACTTTGCTGCATTTCCCACTTTGTATGTTTTGTTTCTGCCTCTACATTAATGTGTTTTATGTATTATTATGTATGTATTTGCAAAGCAACCGTGAGGTCATGAAAGACACTTAAAAATACACTTTAATTCTGTACCGTGCACTTCCGAGCAAGTTTACCAAGTCAGAAATGCCATAGATATAGAGCAGATTTTGTGACGAGAACATCGAAATGTATTACATTACAAGTCATGCAAAATGGTGAACATGTTTTGATGTCATAACATAGTATTGTACATGAAAATATGTCTTTATTAATTGATAATCTGCACTTAATCATAATTTGAGCAAACGGGAATAAAAGTCGTTGGTGTTTTATTGCCACTAGTGATAACGTCACCTTGAAACTGCAGTGAATTTTATGTATAGGTAAGTTTTTGGAGCAAAAATGTAGACAGACACACGTTTTCAATGATCTTAGCTTGTTTTTTTTTTGGGCATCTCTCACCATTTTTATTCTGTGTTTAAGACATATCTGTTTAAAACTGAAAAAAAAATCCATCTTGAGAACGTGCTCTTTTCCATCCCTTTATGCTCAGTTTTTAAAAAGCTGCTTCAGACATGAAGAAAGTGATTACATTTTGATGAAAGATCATAAAAACAGAATGTTTTCTTGGGAATTACAAACACAGAAGAATTGTTCACAATAAAACCAGAAGCATGACACTAGTCCCATCCCAAATCCACCAAAAAGACCTTCTGATGCCATTTGGCCCACCAACTCAGCCTACATAACAAACACACTCGTGACAGTGTGTGATGAAGAGCCGCAGGACCCGACAGAGACACAGACATCACCTGAGAGACAGACAGAGACTGTGAGAGGTGCTGCACTGCAGATGCTGCAGGGCAAAAGCAGAAACATGCCGCACCATTAATCACTCCCAGAGAAAGAGAAAGAGAGATGGAAGATGAGGAGAAATACAGGACACAGCGGTGGAGGAAGAGAACGTGAAAAGTGAGTCCACTCACAGAGGAGCAGAGAGATGAGACGGAGGAGTGAACGCTGGGGAGGATCCTGTTCACTCGCTCCCCAAAGATACAGGAGCAATCCTGCTGGCCTACTCACTAGTGCAGTCACCTTTATAGCGCTTTATACCATACAGATTGTGTTCAAGTTTCGTCACCTTGGAATTATAAGGTTCTATCTGACATTTTTGTCAAAATTTAGTTATTCACATATTCATATTCTGTGACAACTTATTTAGATTATGTGATGTTTCTTTTTTAAGTTGTGTACATTTTGGTACTTTTTTTTTTAGAAAACAAAAAGGTTCTATCTACAAAGTCGAACTCTAACTTGGTTCTATCTGCGTGAGCCAATCAGCACTTCGAATGCACACACGAGGACCAATCAGCATCAGCTTTCTTTGTCATGTCGCCAGACTGCGCCGCGATAGCAGAAGAGAGTGCAGAAAAAGGCTAAATCAGTGAAGAGAAGACTAAATAATTTCACACAACGCGATGCTTATTAGAAACCTCATGATCGACTATTTTATTTATGATCTTGTCAATGACAGCAGCCCAAATTCCAGGGAATTACAGTCTTTTTGTGTGTTTTGCTGTAGCTATTGCGTAGTTATTTTCAGTT